CCCCACTTGAACGACTCTGAGTGCGACAGTAAATGACTATTCTTGTATTTCCTATACAGCTATGGTATTTGCGTTAATGTGGCGTGTACGGCTGTGCCCATCGGTGGAAACCGAGACGACGCCATTCCTCTTCGACGCCAATAAGTTCATGACGCAACATGACCCATTGGTGAGTAAAGCCTATTTTGTCATTAATTGAAAAAAATATGTTATGCGTCTTTTAACCGAGGATAACTCGTTTAATGTTGACTAGTGCCGTTATAATAGTTCATATTATAAGATTACTTTTGTATGTACAGGGTGCGGACGCGATGTGGTCCGCGGTGTCCGACACAGACTGCGGCAGCGCAGGGAATAGCGCTGGGGGCAGCGTAGGGGGCGGGGTACTGACATCGGAGCAGTTGTGGGGTTCTATGCGCATCGATTCCTACTTTGCGCCCCGCCTGCTGCCGCCCACACGTGTTGCAATGCGCCTCGCAGCGTTCAACATATACCTACACAATGAAATACCCAATCTAAACGAGTACGTATTCATTGCACTCTCTACAACATCGCGAACTTACATTTTATTGATAAATACACTTTGTTATGTGATAAAAATCTTTCAGGGAGAACTGTAGGAAATTAGAAGGTCTATACGTGTCGCGGCCGCTGCGGCGCAGTCACCGCGTGCTGTCGTTGTCCGCGCGCGACGCCGCCGCCCACTTACACTTGGGCTCTGCTCCCGCCGCCCGACGCTGTCTTATGCACGCCCACTTCTCGTTAGTTGTAACTAATAACTTACGACAAGATTGTTTGCTAACCAACTCTAAGTTTTCATAAAATACGTTCTTATTTTGCTAAAAATTCTTTGAATTTTCTTGTTCAACAGAAGCGATATCTTGGATTGCACCATGGGTACTATGGAGCGATTTGTAGAGGAGTTTCGCGCGCAGGCTTCAGTATTGCTGACGCCCGTGCGGGATTCCGAAGCGAGCGACTGGCGCGTGCGCACGTGCGCGGACCATGTTTATGTGTCACTGAACGTGCCACGCGTCTACACGCTGCAGGCGCTGGCCAACGACTGGCAACACGCCTACGCTCAGGTATATGTTATGTATGGTTGCTCGAATAACGTATAAATAAAATGTCAATAGCTAAAAATGCGCTAGACGCGTAAATTCTCACAATAACTTGACAAACTGCTTCGATAGTTGATTAATGAACCTTTAATGTTACCTAAATTATTATTTTTTTCCAGTATGTACTGAATGAAAATCTTGGTGTGGTGAGCAGTGTGACGGAGGAGAATGAGGGAGAGGAGGTGATCGAGGAGGAGGAGTCGCAGCGTGCCTTGCGCGGGTGCGTCTCGTTGTGGTTGCACAACGAGTGCGGAGCCGCACTGCGTGTGTCTCAAATTGCTACTGAAGAACTTCTTCCGTTGGGGCCTGATTCTATGCTTGCATATAGGTAATGTTGAATACATATATTCATTGGATTAATAAATCTTCTAATTTTCTTTTAGTATTCAAGTATTCAATTCATTCGTAAATGTTATAGATGGCACTCTCCAAACGAGGCGAAAAAGCTACGATTCTCTCTCGCCAATCCATCTACGGACTGGCACTGGTCTAATAGTAAGTGAAGATCAAGTAAAACACTTTTATTACTTTTTCACGAATTTTCATATTTAGTTTTAATTTCCATTGACAAATATTTCAGGTATACCCTTCGTGGAAGGAAAATACATGGTGCGTCTGGAAGATCCGAATCTATGTTTGAATGGGGGCGGAGCTACGAATGGCAAATCATGCGGGGCTGAGGTTGCGCCGGGGATCTCTCGACTCGCGCCGGGGGCGGGTGTGTTCATCTATGCGCGTGTAACCGAGGTTGGCCCCACGCGCACCATGCGTTTAACTGGGCGACTCACGCTCGCGAACATGCTTCGACATCCACTGCTCTATAAGGTGATACTCTACACTTTGCTACATTTAATATGTCAGTTATTTAGTATTTTTACGATTTTTAAGTAGACAGGCAAAACTAACTAAAATCTGTCAATGATTCCAGGTGCGCGTCCGATGTGCGACTACGCAGCAGTGGCGTGCTCAGTGTGCGGGCGAGCTGTCTCCCGAGCGCGTCAGCCCCGCCCTCCTCTGCGAGACGGCCGCTGATCTCTCTCTCAAGTAAGCACAACTTTTAGCAAAAACTTTTATAAAATAGCTAATGATCCTACTTTTAAATTGACTTCATATTTCAGGGTCAAATTCTTGTCCCACGATGCTGGTTGGTCGGGTGATATTCCAATAAAGGAATGTCCAAAAGAAAATGTACCATGGCTGGTTAAAGGTAGAGAAACGTTAAGTTATCATTTAAAACACTCATTTACACTCTATTGAGAAACTTCTGCTCTGCCTTCATAACCAGATAGTAAATACACTAAAACTTTACCAATTTAAAGATAAATATTTTTTAACTCAATACAACTTCTAATTATATCGGAGAGTTAATATGAAGAATTCTTGTATACATGTTGTATGTTTGTCAGTTCCGAGTGGCGGTGAGATGGCGTACGTGTCGGTGTGGTGCCGCGTGTCTCGCGCCAGCTCCGACGGCCGCCTGCTCGCCACCTTCTGGCCGCTCTTCGTCTTACGCTCTCATCTCTCTCTAGATACTGAGGTATTTGATTAATATTACGTAATCTGATGATTAGTAAATTAATTTTAATTGCAAGGTCAATTTTAAATAATGTTTTTTATATTGTAGGTGATGGTAACAACAGAGTTGTCAGACACCATTGTGGGTAAGAGTGAGGGGACGGAGGCGGGGGCTAAAGGAGCGGCGCCTGGTCTAGTGCAGACGGCGCTGGGGCGTGGCGCTACCACACATCTCACCGCGCCCGGCACTACCGCTGCCCGCCATACTCTCACACTGCAGTATAAGTAATGTCACATTTTATTACTGTTTCCATTGACTATTGTATTAAAAATATCTCTCTCGAAATATTTCTAATAAAACAGATGTATGTTGTAGTACCAATATTACGACATAAAGAAAAAAATAAAAAAGAGATAATGACCCATATAATATAAGCTTTTATTTAATAGTTTTTAGATATATGTATGTATTGTTGTGCAGGAACATAGATTGTCCAGTTACGCCGAAAGGGGTGCCGTTGCACTACGGCATCACGCAGACATCAGTATTCGACGAGTGCCAGCCCGTACAGGACATTGACGACGTGCTCCGAGAAATAAAAACTTGGTCAGTCAACACATACTGTTTGATTGAGGACAATAATAACAATTAAAGAACACAAAACTGAAAGTATAATTGTGCATTATATTTTTATGGACCAATATTATATTGTGGCCCAGTGGGCAAAAGTGGACAATGTCAAAAAATTCCACAAGTTCCTTGTAGGCTTGTGGCAGACATATCGTGTCTTATTCTATGTGTCATTTTCTATTTTTTATCATTATAGCAATATAGATTATGTTTGGTTTGGTTATTAAATGATTGTCTGCATTTGTTAGGTTGCGTGAGTGGGGCCGCGAGGCACGGACGGATTGGCCGTACTCGTTGGTACGTGGGCACTGGCGCGGCGTTTGGCAGCCGGCACTATTGCAACCACGTACCGACATCACGGTAACAGTTCTTTGCTGCATCATTAAAAAAATTATCTAATACAGACAAGCGATTGCCTGGTAAAGACCGTTTCTTGCTTAGTTCTGATCGAAACGCCTCTGTTGAGATTTCATGGCAATTAAGCCTATCTATTTATTAGTTCGAATCCACACCACTACTACAAACCTCTACTACCAGTGCTAAAATGAGGAAAATCAAATAGGCACAAAATACTACATCTTATAGCCAGTCCATTTATAGAGATTACTGAAAACACGTCTGTGTATACAGGTGCAATACAGCGCGGTGTGCGCGGGAGGAGGTTGTTCGCTGGCGGCACAGCTATGGCCGGTGATGTTACTCGCCAACGCCGCGCCCATGCCGCTCACACTACGCGCACATGACGCCGCACCCCTCTGTCGCCTAGAGCCAGGACATGTCGTCTCACCACCGTCCACTTTGCTAAAGGTTAATAATTGTTGTCCCTATGAATGACTGATAGGATAGTAATGTTTTTTACAGACAAGCAAATATATTAAGAAAGCAGAAACAAAGAAACATATAATTTGTAAATAAATATGTTTGTTCCACTCCCGATGCCCCCTTACTCATCCCCTCAGATAGATTAATATTCCTGTAATGTGCCGTTGATTTAAATATGTTGTAATTTGCAGAAACCTTTCTTCCTATCATTGGAGATGGGCCGGGAGACTTTCGTTAGTGAGCCATTGGTAGTGAGCTCTCAAGAACCCGGGCGCTACGGCGCGCTGCCCTCCGGCCACCTGGCCCTTGGCCACGCTGGACACATCGCCATACATTGCAATCACAAGGTATACATACATTTTAAAATTTATACAGCGGACTTAAACCATCCAGGTTGAAAAAATACCCGAGAAGGTCCTTGTGTCTTGTCATATTGACTAATTGACCTTGAGATTGTTATTTTAAAAAGTATTTTTTTTATTACAGGTTGCTTTGTTTACTTTGTATTTGGAAGTAAAAGAAGACATGAACATATTGGGCATCACTTCAACTTATGTTCTCAGAAACGATATGGACACTGATATTATGGTAAGTTCTAATCGTAATCGATCTCAAAATTAAATTATAGTATTTGTCATAGTTATATAATTATGTTAAATTTCTATATGCAGATAACTTGCATCGCAGTACCGGAGGGCACGGATGATGAAGTGGTACTAAATCCGAAGTCATTTAAAGTGATCCCGCCTTCAAAGGATAAACGGTAACGGTTGACTAATTATATAAGAAAAACCAAATGTAGACTAATCATGTGCATTATTGCAATTGTTTTCTTTAATTTGTGTTTTAATTTATTTTACAACAAGAGTTGAAGGATGAGGTATGAGTGAAGTAACAACTTATAAATCAGTTCATTAACATCCCAGCTACTATTCCGAAAGCACTGAATAGTTAGTAAATTATCTTGAGTACTTTTGATATATGTTCTCCTCGTACAAGTTTATATTTTGCGACAGATGCGTGGGCGAAGCTCTGTGCCGCGCGTGGATTTGGAGTCGTTGGCGTAGTGGAGCACGTGCCAACACATTCCTATGCGTCTCGCTGTCCCACGACAGCGCCGTGCCTGTGCGTCTGGCCACACCCCCTGAGCATGCCGGCCCCTCCCCACATGGCGCGCAGCCGTCACGACGAGCGATCGCACTGCGTGATCTCAACAACCAATCTGTATGTAAACAAAACGTAAAAGTATTTCTTGGCAAATGTGAATTCACATTTTAGGCGGACCTGCTATGTTTCTTCAGCTTATTTTATATACATAATCATACGAGTTCCTGATTTTACGGTTTAGTTTAATTAACATGTATGTGTGTCCAGGTACCAGTGGTGGTGACGCAGCACCATCATGATGGCCGCTGGCAGGTGGTAGTGGCACGCGACCCCTGCCCACAGTTCGTCGTGTACAACGCCACGCGTGAATGGCTTGCCGTAGCTCAAGCCGATCAGCCTGAAGTATATGATGACTACCAACAAAATACCGCCTCCAATAACGTCAAGGTCAGTTTCATAAATAAGTTCATATTGCAAGGCTTATTACATATTTGGAAAGAAAGCAAATTATTACACCTTTGTGTATCCTTTATCGTCTGTCTGATAGATGCTGGTCATAAAACTCGAATATTTCTTTATTAACAAAGTATATTTACATCTGTATACAGGCAGTGAGAGAATGCGAGGGGGCCCGCTGGATGTGCACGGTGGGTCCGGGCATGAGTACGCACTATACGACTCCGGCGTACTGCGCACGCTACCCCACGCCCGCTTCCGACGCTGACAACAGCGACGCTCTCGCTCCTATATTCCTGACATTCGCACGTGCAACAGGTAAAAAATTTAATAAATGTTTTCATATCTTAATGGCTCTTAATTTTCTGCGAGTCGTTGCACAGAACACAATTTTATGTTTAGCGTATAGACATGCTGGGGTAGAGCACTACGCAGCACGGCGATGACCTAGGCTCTTCAAAATATTTAAAAAGAGTAATACTGATGTTTCACACAAGAACAGGAAAGTGTTGTAAAGTAGCGGACTGTTATTTTTGAACGGACAACGCTGAAATAAAACAATGTATTTATTTAAAAGTTGTATAACTGTCTACTACTCGTCTGTCCTCTTCTAAAAATAGTATAAAATATAAAACAATCTTTACACAGAGGATGAACGATCGCCCAAGTGGTGTGTGCCGGTGGGCGTGGTGAGCGGGGAGCAGCTGGTGCAGTTGGCCGGCCTCACGGTCAAGCTGCGCGTACGCACCTCCCCCCACTCCACTCTGCTCGATCTACAGCACGTGCAACAGGTATTGTACAATCATCATACATTAACATTGAAACCTCTCTTTTGATTGCTATTGATCAGGATTGCTAATATACCTTAATTTATTTAAACAAAAAACAGAATGTTTATAGTTCTGATATCGATAGAATTTGAAAACAATTATTTCTGGATACAACATAATATTCATACTAAGCAAAAAAGATGTGATTGATTTAATTTTTTTTTTGCCTTTCAGCATGACATCTCGGCGAGTGACATCAGACAGCGTCTGGTCGGCTCCTTTAGCAGCACAACACTTCATGAAGTAAGTATTGACAAACTTCAACTCGTTTCAATATAAATTGTCTCATTCAAGTTTACAAAAACATTTGTTTGAAATTAAATTTGAAATATGTTTAAAGATCAAGCCAATAATTAAATGGATAAGATGTTTAGATATTTTTTATTTCCAGAAACATATTGATGAACATCGATCGATGGAACGAGTCAATGCAACAGAGAATTGTAAGTCATGTTTTTGATATTGTTAAAATACATATAGACAATAGGATATTATTTTGCAAATTGCGTGTCTATGTCATATTTACTGACTTAAAATATTATTTTTTCTCGTAGTAATGGAAATTTCAAAATCTCGATTACGTCAGAATCATTTCCAATCTAGTGGAAATTTAAATATTAGAGATGATTTGATTTTACCACCGAGTGATACTAACACGATTCAATCGTCGAATGCCAAGAAGTTGGCGGTAGACGTTGAAAAAGGTCCTAATGCACGAATCTCATTGTGTGGTAAGAGAACGGGACCCTCTTCATTGTAAACAATTTTTTCCTTACTAAGTATTGTTTTAGATCGGACAAAGAACTACGTAATATTGTCTATATGGTGTACTTTAAAGTTGTTAAATGTAGATTAGAAAATAGTTGAAATTCCAATCAAATATTAATATTCAAAGGCTGCATCTTTATCATAAGAAATAATTCGTTGTAGTGACTTAAAAATTATAAAACATTGTAAAACGTTGTTTTTGTTTTGTAATGCACTAATTTTTGATTTATGCACATTTTTTTATTATGTTAATTATGTTTTTGTTCCATTTATTACTTTGTTTATTTTTTATTTTTTTATTTCTAATTCTGGTGTGTTAGGTTTGGAGCGAGAGCTGACGAGAAGCGTGCTGGCTGTGGAAAATGAAGAATTGGATAATTCTCAGGTTTCAATAGTGCAGTGTCTCTCAGAGGCCGATCAGTCCAGTTTCAAGGAACTTTGTAACTATTTTTTTATTTCCATTTTTTCCAATACTTTCATATTTATTTTTTTAATTATCAAATAATATAACAAAATATTGCGAAAGAGAAATTTATTTCTGTGGAAATAATGTTTTTTTTTCACGAAAAACGAAAACTTATTCTTTTTTCTTTAATATTTGTGTCTTTTAATTACAATTGGGATCTTTTGCAGTATACAACGGTGAGACGGAAGAGGGCGGTAACGGCAGTGGGTGGGGCCTGGGTGGGGAGCGCGCCGTGTGTGAGGTACGCGGCGTACACGTACGTCTCGCCGCTGCCGCTGACCGTGTGCCGCTCCTTGCTCTGCATCTCGACAACCTACTGGCAATCAACCATGCAGATATGCATGTACGCAATATAATCAACATCTCTAACTGCCTCGCTAAGTATTCTTATATACAAACAAAGTACTCTCTGTAATCTCTGGTAGTATCATGAAAAATCTTTAAAGTGAGTGTTTAAATAATCATTTAACGTCTCTGTAGTTGACACGTAGATTCCAAGGGTGCTCTTGTTTGCGACGTGCCATCTCAAGATCTATTACATTCATTACACATCTTTAAACCAGTCAAAGTTAATTTTATGAAATTTTAAAGATAATAAAATTGACGTAACGTTACAGAGGGGTCGAGCGACGATATCAGTATCGTCACTCCAGATCGATAACGCTCAGTATTCAAGCGGGGAGTATGATTTCGCGGTTGTGGCTACATCGCGCGCACCACTGCCTCCGGCCCCGCGCTGGCCGCCGCTTTGGGGTGCTGCGCCGCCTCAGCAGACCAGCGACCAAGATGTACTCAACCTAGATATTATCACCGAAGCCTGGTTTATCGCCGAACAAGAGTTTTGTGGTGAGCAAAAATTATTACACATTTTTAGTATTTGAAGTTTTTAAAAGTTGTGAGAATAGTGAAAACATCTTTTTTTTTTAAACAAAATTTAAAAAACCAAACAAAAATAAGCTATCAACGCCTGCGATACTTTTTGTATAAGTTAATATAGCTAACAGGTACATAAATATTACAAGAATAACTTATATGAATCAGAGATAACGGAAGTGGAGGTGCGCGTGGGTGCGCTCGCGCTGTACATCGAGGACGCGTACGTGCGGCAGCTGGCCGCGCTGCTGCGTGAGGCGTGGCCGGCAAGCGACCGCGATGAGTGCGCCCACGTGCTCGCCGCTGCGCGTCGCATACAGCGCCCCCTGCGCCTGCGCTCGCTCACTGTCATGCCCATAGATCTGTTGCTCACTCTGCATACTGCTGTAAGTAGTGCTTCTCTCCTGAATTAATTACGAGATTAATTAAGTCTTTTTTGACAATTTCATTGCAATAGTTTTTTTTTTTAAAAGATCTTTTGCACATTTTTGTCAGGTGTGAAATGATGTTTATTACATTTAATGTAAATATTATTATATTCTCATATATATAGATTTTGTATATTTTTGTAGGCACACATGTACATTGCGTTGGATCAGAGTCCGCTGCGGCTGGCCGCGTTCCGGCAGCGCGCCATGGTCACCTCGGTGGAACGACTTACACATGCTTTCACCGTACACTACCTGTCCGCAGCACTGCTCAGTGCAGGTATGCATACTTATATTGTTTTTACAATTAAATATATATTTAACTGTGGAGAAGGTGATATGGTCAAAGCAAGTAAAAAAATATAATAAATGTTTTTATTGTCTTGAATTTGTATCAGGTTGGGTGGTGGGGGGTCTAGAGTTAGTGGGTGCGCCTGTGGCGCTGGCGGCGCGTGTGGTGGGTGCAGGTGGCGGTGTGCGTGGCGTGGCGAGCGCGACCGCAGCCGCCGTACTGCGCTCACTCAGCGCCGCTGCTAGCTCATTGGCTCGTAACCTCGATTTGCTTGCTGGTGACATCGAACACGCAGAGCGAGCGGCCGCCGCGAGGTTCGTAACTACTGTCTGTGCATGCTTGACGTAACGGTAAATCGTATCATTTAATGTTATACTCATATGTTTCAGGAGACAACCCCCATCCAGCTTATTAGCCGGTCTTGCAGCGGGACTCACTAACTTTGCTATTAATATACTTGGTAAGTATTCTCTTTTTTCGACGTGGTTTTAATTATTTATTTCTGATAGATGTATAATATTTTATATGTATTTCAGGTGCTGTGGGCGGTCTCGCACATCATTCTGTGGTGGGCGTGTGTGTGGGCGAGGCGGGAGGCGGGACGGCGCTGCGGCGTGGTTTAGTTGGTGCTTTAGCTAAGCCACTTAGCGCCACCGCTGACTTGCTCGCGTACGCTGGCCAAGGTCTACTCGCGCAGACCGGCTGGGATTTAACGCCTCAGGTAAACAACAGATACATAATTTGTGCGCGTGATATATATATATAAAATAAATGTGTGCTTAAAACTGCTATGTATATAACAGCCAAGATTGTGGGGCGGTGACGAAGGTGGAACTAGGATGGGTCCAGCGGGCGTGTGGCAGCGCGAGTGCGTGCGCTGGACGTTCCGGCTCGCAGACTTGCCCGCTCTCTCCGGCTTCCGAGTGCTGCTCGATAACGCGCCTCTCCTCCTCATCATTACACAAAAGGTATAAATAGACATTTACATACCATTTATATTATTTTACTCGTAAATCAAGTAAAGTAAATCATTAACGATTCGTCTTATTTATCCGTAGTAATATTACCTCCCATTATTAAATATTGGGTCTTTATCTATCTACTATCTTTACACTGTAATATATAATTATTTGATGATAAATTATAATCGTTCGTTTTAATATAGTTCCTGGTGGTGGCTGATCCTCACAATGAGCGCATCGTTGAAATGATAGATCTAAAATCGTGCTCCGTGCAGCCGCTAGAAGGACACGTTGTTGAGGTAAATTTAACTTGATGGATTCGTTTATTTTGAGTTATTACTAGCGAGTACTAGTAATACCATTTGATTGCTAAGTTTAATTTATGTGTGATCTTGTAGTTGCTGGTTAAACAGCGGCGGACTCCTAAGACGCCGGACTCTAACGGGCCAGATGAAGACAACGAGTATCAAGTATGTATACATCAAAACTTTATACTCTTATATATTATTTACCGGAGATCGTACGTAATTTAAACAAACGGTTACCACCCTATAACAAAGATTTACAATTTTACTATATCTATATTTAAAAATATATATATTGATACAGATAAGCGCATCAGCAATGGCCCGTGTTGCACGGTATACGGGGGCGGGATCAGCGGGGACTAGGGCGGAGCTAGACGGCGGGGTTGGCGGAAGCGCGGCGGGGGCGGGGCCAGAAGCGGGCACGCGCACACTGCTACTGCGCACCGCGCCCGGACAAACGTACTCTCTGCATGCAGCACTCTGCGCAGCTATACAACACAATTGCGCCGTACATTTTCCATTACTATAAAATGTACATTTCTGACTGTTGTGTTTTAACTTCCTATATACAGAATAATGCACAAATTTCAATGTGTACACATACAAGAGTTAAGCTCAATGTATGTGTGTATTGATGCTTTGATCTTCCAATTTGAACAATATTTAACATTGACATTTTATTGTAAGACTGTTAAGCATTATGGATATAGTTTAATTATATGATGTTACATGCGAGGGCATGAATTTGCCAAACTATAGCAAAGAATAGGTTTTAATTTTTTTTTTTATTGCCGAGAATGTAAAGCAGCCTGTTACAACAGTATGCATTATAAGTACGAGGTATGGACATTTTATTTATTGTATTTTATTATCTATGATATTTTTTAATCTGTATAAATTTATAATGTTGTCTATACAAAATACATTGACTATTAAAGACATTCCTCTCCATAATAAGTTTTGTAAATGTACATTTTTGATAAGTTTTTTTTTAATATAATGTTTACAATGAAATTTAATTAGTACAATTTTCCTCGATATAAAACCGAATTAATATTATTCAAATATACTTTATAAAATATTTATTAATTATTATGTAATATTTATGAATTAAAGTATCTGTTATTTTAAAATAAAATTTTGTACATAAGTTATATTTAAAATAAATATCACTCCAATTGAGTAAGAAAGGTAAGTTTTTTAATTATTTTTTTCGCTCTTATTGCATTTCTTTAAAATAGGTGATTTTACGTTTCAAGTGTCAAGGTGTTAGGCATTTCCAAAGTATCATATTTTAAGATTTTTAACATATGTATGTGGTTAAAAAAAAAGTTGGATTCTAGATACGTCTTATTCGGGCTTAATTAAATACGTATGAGCCGAGAAGTTATTCAGGATCTTTATAAAGTTTATATATAACAATGTATCTTGGTTTAGATGTGATTTTAATATGACCATTTATTTAAAAATTTTATTTTTTTTTATTAAAATTATATAATTTTGTTTTGTCAATGTGATTAAATTATAGTATATTATGTTAGTATTGATAAATTTATTATGAAATAAAGAATATTCATGATTGTGGTAAGAGACAGTTCGATATTGTAACATGTTTGAATATGTCTCTTAAATTGTATAACCATTGCAAATAAATTCATTTACTGATATCGCAGTATTATTATTTCATACCTCACTTTTTTTTAAACATTTATACCTACGGCACCTCATCCATTTTCATGTTAAGTTCACCTTATTATATGTTACCTGTGTCCTTGACTTAAGGAAAGATAAGGATATGCTCTGGTGAAATGAGCTGATAAGACGGTTATATATCTTAGTCTTTGATTTATTTTATAATTCTTATGCATGCTCAATTTGATTTGATAAATGTTTAGTGCAACTCATGAAGGTGTACAGTCAGGCCCCTTCGCGGTGTTCCTTTTACGGTAGTATTTCTTTGTCTGTTGTTTCTTTTTTAACACATATCTTTTTAATTTTGGGACACGTTGTATATGCATTTAAGAAAATTTTCATTTCTATAATATTACGACGCGTTTTTTGTGACCGTTAACTTAAATAGCTGGATCGATTCTGAAATGTGATTTGATATATTCTTAATAGAATTGTTAATTAATTACTAGTTGGTCGCAGAAAAATATTAAATTGTAGTAAGGAAATTAATCAACAGTCGCAATCTCGCGGCCTACTCTCGTTATTATGATCCAATCAGTGCCATCCTGTCGGCGCCCTATATCCTGGACGTCACCTGACTCGTTCCTTACTCAACACTCGCATACCGCCTCGGTCTATTACATCTTGCTACTTCATTGTAAGAATTTCAATGAACTAGTAACTGATTTTAAGAAATAGCACCGTGCGTCTTGATAATTTATTTCTAAATTTGAATTTTTGCTATTGTGTTTTTTTTCGTCAATTGTTATGTTCGATTCAATTTTAGCGTACCATGGTTGTTAACCATAACTCGCATCAGTGAAAATAAACTGCCTTGTTTACTTACGTACGTAATTGTTGCTTATCAATGCACTACTCAGTTCCGAACAAATGTATCACGTATTTAGCAGGTCATTGTTCAACAAGCCGTAATTGTTGATCGTTTACGTTGGGTAAGACTAAATATATATTGATTGAATGCACCGAATAGATTCTATACATAATATATTTTTATTAAAGAATTTACAATAGATCCCAATAGAGCGTCATCGATACATTTAATAAGGAAATTACCTGTTGCTGATGTAATTCTACGTGTGCATTCCGACTGTAAATGAACTTATGCTGTTCACACTACGCACCACGTACTATTCTGACTAAACGAAATCATTCTCGACCGCTATAGACTTAGAATCAGTCATTAATCAGTAGAGTCAGCAGCCACAGTCGTTGCATGATTATGCAGCTCCCCTGCCCGGAAAATCCACAAACTCACACAAAAGTAAGTAAGTTTGTTTCCAAACCGAAAATGACTAAAATTTTTGGTAGTCCGGGAAATACCACGAACTCATTACGTACGTAGAATTATAAAAATTACGGTCCAAAAGTGTTTTTATGGTATTTCTACATCTTCATGTTCCCTTTTGTATAATATGTACTCCCTCTTTCTTAGTTTCGGAAACAGCTTTCTGTACATCTTCTCATCTGTTGATAATACGTTTGCTTCCTTCTATAAAAATATACCACTGCGTGTTAAATAATTATCCGACAATGCGATTCCATAGCGAACTTCAAAAATGTATGGAACTGACGCGCGACATTCACGTGACTTATCGGAAGTTATTGTCAGTTCTATACACTGTTGAAGTTCGCTATGGATTTGCTTCGCAACGAATGCACTATGTCTATCCCGTCTGACGGCATTCCAATAACTTTTATTCAAGAACTTTATGTATTTAAAAAAGACAAATGTACCTATTATACAATCTGCTGGAATACAGACTTACAAACAATGCTACTTACCTTATATATCCCTGGATTATATTTATTATAGAAGGAATCTATGTGCCATTGTGGGCGTCACTTCGTTGATAGTAATGAAGACATTTATGACTCAGTGCGACGTATTTGTACAACGTAGTTGTGACGTCACAAACATTTAGTCAATTACAGGCGCCCGCCCATTGATGTTTGCATACAACTTCCCCCTCTCCCCGCCATAGTCCTCTTGATCTTCACGGACAACTGTTTCACATGTTTTTAAACAATACTAATAAATAAATTCTTATAACAATGCATAAATATTTAATTACTGGTTGTTGCGTTGAGTGTATTTATTAAAGAAATTGGTAGCAATATTTACGTACTTACGCGACATGAACAAACAACAAACATGTTGGAATGTTTGTGTTTGTAATGATCTTGATTCTTTATTGACTAGATGTGATATAAATTATCTGGCAATTAATAGGTGAAGCAAAAACATCGGAAACATATTGAAAACAACTTTTGGTTCACGACTATGTGCCAGATATTGAGATTTGTGGATAAAACTTCTGAAGAAACTGACGTGTTACAATATATTAATGACATACTACGATGATGATAATGATTACGCTGAATTTCACCCACCTATTGCACTTAAATCGAATGTTAGTTCCAGCGTTGAGTATCAGTCCAGTAGTCTAGTAAGTATCAGCCGTTACTGAATTTGTAAATGTTCGGGAGCTCCTCCGACAGTGTCAATAGGATAAACAGATAATCTTCAATGTTTGACGATCGGAATGTTTCATTTTTAGTAGTAAATAATTACATCTAAAATTACTGATACATTTAATCATTGACAGACAGTTTAATATTTTGTTAACAGCTACGCTATGTACAGTAAATATCTGAATAGTATACAGTACATAATATTGTATATTATTCAGACATTTACTGCACCTGAAAGGCATG